CAATTTACAATTAAATAGGGAYTAAATTCGAAAATGGGTATTTTAGTAAAAAGAAAATTCCACAATCTTATTCATATTTTTAATAGTAGTGTAAATATAGAATTATAGATGTGTTCAATTTTTATTATAATTTTTTTTTGTATTTTTGTGTGTAAAACTAATTATGATATTTTAAACTTACTTTTTGTTTAATATGATAAATATATGATATTATACATATGCCTGAATGCTTTTTTTTTGTAAAATGTATGTTGTTATTTTTAATTTTTATATTTTATTAATTTTTATTATTTATTTATGACATCAAAGTTTAATACATTTAACCCAAAAGTTGAACTATTTATTATTAATTTTTATATTTCATTTTTGGGTAGTTCTAAATTATGTATTTCATTTTCATTATCAATAAAAATAATTTGGTTACATAAATGTGTCTACTTTTTCTACATTATTTGTAATTTTCTATATTTATTTATATTTTGAAAATTTTATTACCTAACTATGACTTCATAAATTGATTAATTTGATTTGGGTGGTTGAATTGCTTAACCACGACTTGGATAAATAATGGTTTTGTTTTTCGAGTCAATTTTGAAATATATGGATTTATACTATTAAAAATATTGACATAGATCTAATTAGTGTCATTTATTAGTGAAAAATAACTTTAAAATATATGATTTAATAAGATAAAATGGGATTTAATACCTTAAGTATAAGACTTAATTAAAAAAGATTTTGAGGTGAAAAGTAATAATTGAAGTTACATTTTCAACCATTACAATTAGAGATGGATGAAATACACAAATATGTGCATTTTAGTAGCCATTAAAGTTATAATAAATTGATGTTTATGCCCTTCCTCAAACAAATAAATAAATGGTAATTTTAGTCCAACAAAAAACTTTCACACTTTTATATATAGTATAGATATGGTCTATGGAACATGATATTAAATAATCAGATGAAAACATATTTTTCGGAACTAGCTAAAAATTCAAGAGCATGGTTTTGGTTTCAATCTTGAAAACAAAAGAAAGACAAACACACCCAATAACATGTTTTGTTGTGCGTTATTTTTGGGGAAACAATCTATTTTCAGCTATGATTTGTTTTTGGAACTAGTAACAAGAAAAAGAATTCTACAACGTAGAATGGTACTCCCTTAAAAGATCAAGGTTTTCCATTCAGTCAGCTAATTAAGGTAATCCGTCAGTATGTGTTTTTGTTTCGTGGACGTGTTTATGGATGAGGCATTTATTGCTTTAAATGTTTATTTAATTTGAAAAACTTTAAACATTTTTTGCTTTTATTGTTTGGTTAGACATTAACATTTCTTACTTTCTACTTTCCACTTCAGATTAACATCCCATAAAGTATGCCACATAAGCATTTCATTTCAAGAAATATTGGGGCATTAGAGGAACAATAATTTAATGCTTCCCCAAATGTGTGGTGCACATAAATCCAAGCTTTTATGTTTTTCAGTATTTATTTGATAAACATTGAAACTAAACAGTGGTTTCATGTACAATAAACACGCCTATATAGCACCAATGTAATAACGTTTTTTCAAGAACCAAACGTAGCCTCAAGCTTTTTTGAAATACATGGACATTTTTGCCCCTACCATGGAGGTTAATGCATCCAATCACCTATTTATTTACAAATAAAATATATTTTTACACTTAAAAACATTAAAATTTAAATATGTACGTAAACCTTGACTCTAAGCCCTAAGCCATAAGGCCTAAACATAAAACCCTTAGACCCTAAAATTTAACTATAAAAAAGAGCCACAGTTTTTTCCCCGTTTAATGAGGAATGGGACCACATGTCTAATTTTGTTATCCACACATCATCCCAACTTCGCCCATATCTACGAAGTTAGTACAGCATCGAAAGGAGCTTGATATAGACAAAGACAAATTATGTGAATCCTATATGGGTTGCCATCTCACATTGTAAAAGCTCTTATTGTGTCAATTGTAGCTGATAAGCAAGGCTTCTTTTGAAATCATGGCCTTTTCATGGGTTGCTGTAGCCCCCCACTTTAGGTCATTTCACCCAATTGAAGGTATACATCGCCATGATTTACTGTTTTATGGCCCCGCTGGTTTTTGAGCTATTAAATATATTTAATTTGAAAGAGCTGCAAAATCTCTATTTAGGTTCTAACAAAGAACAGATGGTTCAGTTGGTTGGGCCTAGAGGTATAAATTGGGCCGTGCCACCCATGGCCTAACACGAATTTGGACTGGTTTGGCACGACGGTTCGCAGGTCGTGTCAGGTCTGGCACGACCATGCGGGCTGTGTTATGCCCGACATGATCATGTGGGCCATGTTGGGCCGGCACGATTGAGCGGGCCGTGTCGCTCGCGGGTTGCAGGTCGGTACGGCCCAGCCCATAGCCCAGCCCGCAGCACGGCCTATATATATTATTTATATAGTTTATATATATTTATATATATTTATATAATATTATATAAATTATAATTATATAATAATATATAGTATATAATATATTAATAAAATAAATATTTTTTTTAATTTTATTATACTAATTTAATTAATTATTGTATATATAAGCAATTTTATACACAAAATTCATATAAAATTCAAATTTTAAGTTTTTTGTCAGTTTTTTTTTTTAAATAAATAGCTTTGGCTCAATACACGACCCTACCTAGCCCAAGGCTCGGCCCACGAACCAGCCCGACCCACGACACGGCATGGCACAACATGGGCCCGCACAGGCCTAGGTCGTGGGTCATGCTGTGCCAACCCCCAAAATTTTCATCGGGGAGGGCAGCACGGCCCGCGGGCCAGCATGGCACAGCCGACACTTTGCATTGGTTGCCCACGAGCCATGCCGTCACGGCCCACTTTACACATCTAGTTGGACCTACCCAATAAAACTGGGGTAAAAGACTTAAACATACCCTAAGTTTTATAATAAATACTTAATCCTCACCTCTAATGACAAGACAATGTATATTAATATGTATTTCGTAAAATAAATGGTTGTCCATGTTTTATTAATTTTCATGTAAATAAAAGTTTTTAAATAAGACCACAAGATGCAAATCCGATGTATAAATAGTTCTGAAGCAACTGCAACATGCCCTGAGGTTGTTGCTATACACAGAGGTGGGAAAGGAAAAAAGTTTTTATTCTTTGGCAATGCCATCGGTGGAAAGGTAAGATTTTTATTTTCTGCTTCAAATCCTAGAAAGAAGGGTAAGATTTATTAACATAACTCCAATGATAACAAATCCCAGTCTCGAAGAAGCATCTGTATCAGAAAAGTCATATGATAACAAAACAGAGACGGTAGAAACATACAAAATTCATAGTGAATGAAAGACATGAGAAATATGAGAAAAAGCAATTGATAATGCAAAAATCTAACATGAGAAGGGGAGATATTTCCCCAACATTTGTTAGATATGCGGTAGTGCTTTTACTTTTAATTCTTTTGCTTGGTATTGATACACAACCACCCATAAAGAAGGATAAGATTTTTTTTTTTCAAACCCAAAAATTGTGTTGTATTCCAAATCTAGAAAGAACGGTAAGATTTTTTAAAATAGTTGAAAGTTAACTTCTTAAAATAGAATGAGATGAATCCGTTCTTTTGACTTTCAAAGAATCAAGTATATGGGAGTAAAATAAAGAAAAATGGCTCTGCATTAAAACATGAAAATTATACGGAGGTTTACACTCAGATTAAAGTAGATAGAAGAATTAAAGGCAAAGGAATGACGAAGGGTAAGGTTGGGTTTTTGAAAAAATTAATCTGCACATGAAGTCACGTGTAAATGGATGTAAGGAGATTGTTAACGTAGGGGAGGGGAGGTTATTGTCTATGACATCATATAATAGGAGAGGCTCTAGTCCAATTTAAAAAAATAGGGGGTGTTTCGATATTTAGGAGAAAATTTAGAGGAAGTTTAAGTCTTTGGACAGGCTTGAATTAGGATTTTGTCAAATTTAAATGGACTTAGCCTAAAGGACCGAGCCAAAGCAGCATAAAATACTAACTTGGGCTAATCCGAATTGCACTCTTAAATAAAACTGAACAGACTGAACCAATTATATAGATTTTAGTTCAATAGTTAGTGTTCGGATTAATAATTGGGATCAGTTCTTCTTGTTTCAAAACGATTATATAATTAATTAATAATGTATAAAAGTATATTGGTTCTTTTGTAATTCTGTTATATTTTATATCGAAAAGAATAAATTTCATGAATAGAATATAAGATAATATTGACTAAAAACACTTGTTTTATCAAAATATAAACAGTTTACTATTTCCTATAATTTTATATCGAAATAAAATTCTAAATTATTATTATCATAGATAGTTTATATAATTATAAAATATCAAGAATAATCGGGTCGTTGGAGACTGGTACACCCTGTTCCGAACGGCAAACCAGACCCGAACCATTGACAGCTCATCACCCTGAATTCACATCGTATGTCCTTGGTATAGAAATTTTTCTGTACTGGACCAATAGCAATCTGCCACAACATTCTATTTTTCTCATCGCAAAATTAAATTGATATTATTTTTAAATGACATGGCAGATTCCAAAATTAACAAGTGTACAACGATATGGAGCCCAGCACCTTGTACCTCAGTTGCATGAGGGTATCTTCGTCAAATCATTCCCTTCACAAGTTACGTACAGAATGTGGCTTCGGATGCGAAAACACAATGAATTTACCAAAAAATATTAGTAAAACCATTTGTCGAAACGTGTCCTTACGTAATCATTGGCCAACATACGATGACAGACACGTGGAGGGACACGAGACACGATAGACAGTATCTCTCGCGAGCATGGCCTCTCGTGTATCGAAACAATAAAAAAGAGAGTAGAAGGCCCCTGAGTCCCTGACCTTCCAGAAACTTCCGGGGAATTCCTGGCTAGGAATGGCCGAGGCATCTACCGGCCTTAAATACCCCACGTGTCGGAGAGTGCCACGTGGTTATCTGACTTGGCAGTTCCGTTTGCTTGAAATTGATACGCCCCTCTCCACTCCTATATGTGATTTGTGAAGCAAATTAGGGCACTTCACCTCTGGGTCTGGGCACAGAGCGGAGCAAAGACAGCAGACTCCAAACTCTGAAGAGAGAAAACAGGAAAGAGAAAAAAAAATCCAGTAGTTGAAGAAGAAAAGGAAAACAAGGAAAAAAAAAAGAGATAAAGAGTAAAACAGGAATAATAAGAGAGGGATTCTAGGATTATTTTCCGGAACCGCCATGAATGGCGATGGCGGAGGAGATGCAGCAGTTAAAATGGAGGAGTCGAAAGAAGCTATAGTCTTAATGTGGGGTTACCTTCCCGGTGCTTCACCGCAGCGTTCGCCTCTTCTTTCTCCGGTCGTTGTTCGGCTTCCGGCATCAACCGGCACCGGAGATTCATGGAAAGATGTTTGTGGAGGTGGATGTGGTTTTGCTATAGCGATTTCGGGTGCTGTCTTCGATCTCCATTCATTTCCACTATATATATATATTCGTTTGTTCGACATTGAAATGAAAAATGTTGTTGATTTGAGCGAATAAAACCGTCAAGTGATGACGGGGATCGTTTTCTTCGGTTTCAATTGTTTTGAATAAAGAATTCTTGGCGAGGCATTTTGCGGTGTTTCTTTTGATATTTGTTTCATTGCCTTTTCCATTATTTTCTTCCCGTCTAAACTGTCTGTTTGTTTTCAAGACTGACGATGTTTATGCGTGTCTGAAGATTCTACTGAGTTATTCCTCCTTTGGTTGACTGTCTGTGTATGCAACACCCATCAAAAGTTTTCGATTGAGCTGGATAGTTATCACCCAAATTACAGTGAAACTTTCCAGGATACCGGAATTGTCGAAAGTTCCTAGATTAGTCCTTGCCCCACACTTAAATTACTTCTTTGGCTTATGGGTTTCATCTCGATTTGACCATACAAGTTACTACATTCTTGATTTAGGTCTTTGGAAGAACTCGGTTTCTTTACTTGCTTTCATATTTTCTAAGGAAGCTTTTCTGTCGGTGTTTTTACCTTTTACCTCAATGTGTTTTTAGCACAAGTTTACACGAGTGCTTACATATCTTCTTCAACCAGAATCTGGAAAGCTCATTACATGGGGTTCAGCAGATGATCTCGGTCAAAGTTATTTAACTTCGGGGAAGCACGGGGTTAGTGTATTACTAAGAGATCCTCTCATCAGATGAGTTTCTTTCATATGTTTCTCTTTTATCTGAATATTTGTCTTTTTTCCATTTAATTTCTAAAAGGAAACTCCGGAGCCATTTCCTCTTCCAACTGATGCTTCAATAGTGAAGGCTGCAGCAGGTTGGGCGCATTGTGTTTCTGTTACAGGTGCTAACTGTAGTTCTCTGAAAATTTGTGATACATAAGCATTCCAGTGCACAGGTTATTGTGTAACGCATAATAGGCTTTTTATAGAGTTATGGAATGACTTAATACGTTTCTTGAAATGCAGACAAGGGAGAAGTCTACACATGGGGTTGGAAAGAATGTGTTCCCTCTGGAAAGGTCTTGGGAGATCCAGCTGCTGGTGGAAACATAGAAAAGGAGGTACTTGAAAGGCAGAGTTCATTGTTGACTGAACAAGGTGATTCTGATTTTGTCTAATCGTCGTGGGTATGGCTGAAGCTTCTCTTGACCTTTTTTAGACTAATGTAGTGACAGTAACTCTTACAGTGAGCCCAAAGTCTCAAGTTTCAAGATCAGCTAGTGGATCAGTGTCTGGTTTTGACAGTAGAGGAAGTAGTGAGGAAGGTACAAAGCGAAGGAGAATATCGTCAGCTAAACAAGCAACTGAAAGCTCAACATCTGGCGATGAAACTCTCTCAGCTTTGCCATGTCTGGTGACACTAAGTCCAGGAGTGAGAATAGCAACTGTTGCTGCAGGTGGGCGCCATACCTTGGCGTTGTCAGGTAAACCTATTTTTACCTACAGTCTACTGCCAATGCTGCAGTTGTAACATGCAGATGTCTCGTTGTATTATGATGTCCATTAAAATCTATGAAGCTATGGAAGGGTTACCATTTTAAGCAACTCACCTGATGCATCCAATTTTCCCCAAAGTTTCAGATGTAGGACAGGTGTGGGGTTGGGGCTATGGAGGTGAAGGGCAGCTAGGCCTAGGCTCTCGTATCCGCATGGTGTCTTCTCCTCATCCCGTACCTTGTCTTGAACCTTCTGCATATGGAAAGGATAGGTCTTCAACAGTTCCACGAGGAACCATGAGCTCTGAGGGGCAGCTGTATAAAGTTCCTGGAAGTTACGTGAAGGGAATTGCTTGTGGAGGCCGACACAGTGCAGTAATAACAGGTTTGCATTAGGCCACTGGATTTAGTCATGAAGAAATGTTTCATTTGCTTAGTATATCTTTATCATCATGTGCTGGGTCATTGAGTTGTTATAGGGGTCAGAAAAGGATAGCATTTAGCTGAGATAGTATGGGATTTTATTGAGTGGTCAGTTCATTGCATACCTGATTTCTTCCCATCTATTTTGACCTGCCGATTATAGGCTGATGACATGTCTTTCCTTCTGTTATTTAATGCATGGACAGATGCTGGAGCACTACTTACTTTTGGTTGGGGACTTTATGGGCAGGTGAATTTCCTATTCCAGTTAATTTGTTGGTGGTGAATACACTTTCTTGCTTAAGTGTTTATGATGTCCATTATTTTATATTTTTTTTTGGTTTTGTTTACTTTCTTCTTTTATCTTTTCCATATGGGAAAAAGTTATATTGGTATATCCCATGAATAATAAAGTTTTGTTGCTAGGTTTTTCTTATAACCCCCTCAAGTTTATGGTGCTTTATTTCACTGTAATATCAATATTTAGTGATCTGTTACAAGTTGAAGGGGATAGAAGAGCTAGGGGCAGGGAAAAAGGACATGGATTGAAGTAGTGGAAATGATTTAAGGGCCCATAACTTAACAATGGTTATGGCATATGATAGAACAGAATGGTGGGACAGGTTTCATATAGCTCACCTCATATAGTTGGGACGGGGCTTAAATTATGATGATCATCAATGACTTGACAGTTGACAACCAATATTAGTACTTTCTGTCAAGTGCGCTTAAACAAACAACATGATTGATGGTGCAAAGTAATTTCATGGGTCAGTATTCACTTTTCAATTTAGTTTGAGAGAGGATTGGCATCTATTAGTGTGTGCATGTTCAAATTTGCTTATTAAATGAAGTGGCTGGATTTAATTCCATCTACTGTTGAATTGCAAGTATTACATTAAGGGGTGTTACTTTATTAGACATGGATGGCAGAAAAAGCAACATAAGAAAACCAGGAAGTATAGTAGTTCATTTTGAATTACAAAGTCATTTCTTTCAAGGCATATTATGGTCCTTCATTCTGTGGCCTGTTTACAACCATGGTATATAGCCTATATGTAAAACTTAAGATTTTTTATTTTTTTTTTATTTTTTATGCTGGGGTTGTTTTCTTTAAGTAGTAAATACCAATCACGGTCTTACATGTCAACCACTTGTGCTGTTTGGAATTTTCTTTATGGAACCTCGAGAGCCTAAAATCAACTAATACAAAGCTTCCAGTTGGTAGTTGTCAGGATTTTGGTCATTTGGTCTATTTTTACATTAAAAGAAAAAAAAAGTTTAACAAGAAAAGAAAAATATATATAATCTGAGAAGTGTGACGAGATAGTATCCCAAACCCACAATTACTCATCTCTATAAAAGAAAACAAAAAGCAACAGAAATCATTACATCTCCTCCAAGGGCGTTTCCATAAAAGACATTTGCAAACTCCGGATGCAGTTTAATCCAGTCAATGATCATATTTCCAATCTTCAAGCACAATCTTTCTCCTCTTTTCTGAGACCCTTCAAATATTCTTCTATTTCTTTCCTTCCAAATGCTCCAGCAAATAGGAAATGGTACACAGCTTCACATTATCTTTGCTTTCTTTTCTCATCAAATATTGTCAGAGAGAAAAAATGTCATTGGGGGGATATCTCAGCTGCCAGAGATTCTTCCTAAAAAGGGATAAGAAAATGCCCCATAGGAACTTGGTGAAACAACAAGAGATAAATGATTTCTCTCACCTATGAAACATAAATAGCAAATAAATGTTAATGATCTGGAATCTTCTTTCTTCAGATGATCCAGTGTAAGAACACTGTCCTTGGCTACTAGCTATGCAAATGTTTCTCCCAAGAACAAAGATTTTGCAAATGTTAAGAACACTATCCTCAGTTCATTTATAAGGACTAAGAACAAAGATTTGCACATGCATTGGTTTATCCAGCTCATCCAAATAGATCTGAAGCCTTTTAGCTTCATTATGTGAATTAGGCAGCTCAAATAACATGTCAGGCCTTCTGTAAATCAAAATTTCATATGATTACTAGTTCTCTCCTTTTCATCATGTTTTCCACCCTTGTTTGCTATCAGAATACTAGCCACTATTTGTTGACTCTCTATGAAAGCACTTTGTTTCATGGACGTTCCTTTTCTTTTTTTGATGAATAATAATAAGTTTATTGATTCAAAAGCAAATTAGAGTGAGTTCATACATCATCCCAGTGAGAGGCGCGAGCTGCAGCCCCTCCTTGAAACTTACAAGTAAACTAGGAAAGAAAAACAAGAATCACAACTGAGCCCAAAATAATTCTTCYCTATTTACCCCTTGCTTAGCTAACACATCTGACAAGGTATTTGCTGATCTCCCCACCCACTGTACAGTGACCAACATATTCCTTGTCAACCAACTAAATTTCTTCATTTCATTCTTGTATCGCCACATAGCCTCTTCAGAATTTTTCAACCAACCCACCACCACTTTGGAATCCCCCTCGATTATTAGKTGTTGTACCCCCAGCTGGTTTGCAAATTGGACCCCTTGTACAGCAGCTAAAAGTTCTGCCCTGATGGAATTCCCAATTCCCAAAGGACCTGAGTAGAGCAACAAAATCTCTCCCTTCTCATTTCTCAAAGCACCCCCCACTCCAGATAATCCTGGATTACCCATGCTGCTTCCATCAAAGTTCAACTTAATTGAGCCTTCGGTTGGAGGAGACCAGCTTGTAATTGATTTGGCCTTTAAAGATGCACACCTTGCTACTGCTGACCAATTTCTCCAAATGCCATTAAAGGAGAATTGATGAAAGATTTCCAAAGTCTTCAGCTAATGTATTGCCCTGTTTAACACACAGTCTTTCAAATCTTGGTTGTTCCTTTCCTTATCTTGAAAAATTCTGAGATTCCTTTCTTC